TAATCCAATAATATTAGTTTGTTGCTTTCCGACGTGTATATTTAGCGCAAATATATACGAACGAATTGAGATAAACGATAAACTTTTTGACGAAAAAATTGTGTCGACAATTGAAACTACGTGAGAGAAAATTATATAACAATGTCTACTCGATCTACTCGAAAGTTTTCAAATGTTTCCGCCGTCGCAGTTGTAAGCTTTGCTTTCATTCTCGAAAATTGTCAAAATTGTGAAAATTGTCTCTGAGAACGTTGATAAATTCACCGTAGCTCTGAAGAATTTTCTTTTCTACGATCTTCTTTTCATCATTTTATCGAACACTGAAAACACTACGCTTAGACGACGAAATTTTCGATATTCTCTGAGATATTCAAAGAAATTCGATGAAACGACGTGAGAAAAAATCAAACAAGTTTTAAGGCGTGTCTTAGTACTCAAAAATTCAATAAGAAGAGATTCTTTGCGAATGCATTCGCGAGCAAGATCTTTAAATGATTTTCTAGAGACGTTTGAACGTCTGACAATCTTCGAGAGTAAACTATTCTTACTTACTCGCGCATTAACAAATAGATATTAGCATTTGTCATGTACGTAGACGAATGTTAACCGAGTCAAACTAAATTATCGCGACCATTCCAAAAGCTTCAAGTTGCAAATTCCAATGTTCTCAAATATAAAGAAATTGTTCACGTCGTTCTGGCAATTTCAATCACAAAAATCTCCAATCCATCTAATTAAAACTGATCTCAGCTACCTGACTTGCCTCTTTCAACAACTCGACACGACACGATCTAACGATCAAGATCGCAAGTCGATGAAACCAACCGTTTGAAGCATTGAAACGAACGCGTTAAAGGATCCTGATATCCTTTGAAGCGAATCGTGCTAACGGGGGCATCTCCCTTCATGGCCACCATCAGCATGTCATTCGATAGACTAGGAAACGAACGGAATACGTTTATAACGTTCCGAGTGATAGGAGGTGGCAGTTTGCTTTTACTCTTCGATACTCCGACAATCGTTTCGTTTTCTACGCACCGTCACTCGCGCGTCGATTAAATTCAGTTTTACAAATTCTGTCATCAGAAATCGCGTGCAACGCCATTCAATTAGTCCATTGAGCTTCCGTGCGTTCGTTGATTCTTCAACATTCATCAATTGTTGATTCGAAAGTTCTCCTCTGAGATTTTCGATCGTGTTTT